TCTCGATAAGAAGACGCTGAATGCGTTTGAGGACTGTAAGGAGACGTATGACGACGCATTGGATAATTTTCAGGAGGCATTGGATGCGATTACGACTGAGGACATCGGAACCATCTGGACCATGTTGAGCGACGTCATAGACGATTACGCTACGTGCGATCATGGCTTCACCGGACAGCCGGATCCTGAAGCAGAAGGGGTTTCTCCGATGGCTGCCATTGGTGAAGACCTCATGAACATGACTGATAATATCCTTGCCAATGTTAACTCGATTCCGTGATTCCATTTTTTTTTTTTTTTGAAGAATTTTTTTTAATCCACTCCTGATGAGTTAAAATAATATCAGTCGAGATTAAAAATGAATAAATACAGATTATAATCCTAATGCGGCTTTTAGGCATGAACTTTACTTTAAAACATCAGTTTTGAGTTAGAAAAAACAAAAAGTCAAGGAATGAGCTTTCATTGCATGTTTAGATAAAGAACGAAGAAAAGAGAGAGGAGGGTTAAATTTTTTTATTTAATTATTAAACAAATTAAAGAGAATGTGAGAAAAAAGTTTTTTTACTTTAATTTTTTCTCTTACTTTATTAATTTATTTAAATAATGAGAATAAAAAAGAGGGGAAGGAAGGGGAATTGAGGGATTAAGCATGTTCTTATCATGCCCGGAGCAGACGCCATTGATAACAACTCTAAAAGAAATTTTACGGATTACTGGGATTAAAAAAGTGTTTTTCAATCGACCTATGAGAAAAAAATACATATCCTTTATGAATTAACTTTGAGTGTTGATTAATTAATAGTATTTAAGCCTGCATTCCATACCTGAATTCTGCAGTTGTGAACCTTAATGGGAAATAAGGCACCCCCCTCCCCCCCCAAAAAAAAAAACCCCTAATGGGAAGGGATCATGTTCTGTTAAATTACTGCATCTGACCTCTACGAACAATATGGGAACTAGAGTAAGAAAATTCACGTGCCTTCTGGAGAGACTAGTAAATCTGCTCTTGCTCTGAGTTCCGAAATTGGAACAGGATTGTTCACAACTCAGAAGTAGGTTCCACACAGGAGAAATAGTCGTATCTTCTGCACTCCATCCTTAAATGACACCCTTCATGTCACTAGCATTTCTCAGCAAATATACACTGGGATTTAGATGAGAGATGATCACTTTGTGCTCTATCTTACCATTTGAATCAATAACATTGGGATGATAATATTTCAGTAGAACTTATATGAATAATCACACTTACAAACGTAAAATAACTCTTACAAATGAGGCTGGTATCCTAACTTATAAACCATTAATTACAATATTTGGATATGATCAAGAGGGTCAACCTACACAAACTTTAAACTTTCCTCTCTTGAATAGAACTGTAAAGTAAGCTAAGGCCGTCAATAGATCTAAGATCCATCCATGAAAACAGCACCAAATCCACTGGATTTCATGAACTTCTTGAGCAAAAGAACCACAATTGCGATGGTAAGTCCAATAGCAGCCCATGTAAACAAACGATCATCCGCTGGTTTTTGAACCCTCATCTCACGCTTTTGCAGCAGTGGATCGCTAGGTTGCCTGGCAGGGGTCTCCCTTGCAACAGAAGGACCAGGAGTGGCAATCACAGGGCCCTCTTCCACTTCTTCAACAATCCTGTCAACTTCAGGATTTGGGAGCTCTTCCCCTCCAACAACGGCCCCAGAATAATGCTGCTCAGCCTGGACTTCATCCTCCTTGCCCTTGTTGGTATGATTTTCTTCAGAACCCAGTGAGGGACGGAGTTGAGGAACTGGAGGTGCCTTGCTTAACATATATTCATGAATCTGCACCATTAAAATGTCCATGAGCTCAAGACTAAAATATTGCTATCAAGAGAGAATCAAAAGCACGCTATACCTCATCAATAAGCTTCTGACGTTCAGGAGTCCCAAACTTAGGGGGTGCTTCACGAGACTTGATGGCAAGGACGCGCCTCTCTTCCTTCTTGTAATCCAGGGATCCCAAAGCACCATTAGGATTGGTGGGCATAAAAGCAATTAGTGCCACAAGAGCAGTCCGCACTGCCAAGATTGGTGAATCAGTCAGGTCTTAACCTTTGTTTTTCATTGATAAATGGTAGGTCCACTTTTAGAACCACAAACTAATGTGCACAAATAATTAAAGAAAAGAGATAACATCATCTCATCAGGTAAAGTTCTTCAAATTTTGGTATGGTAAAAGCTAACCCTCAGAATGCAATCAAATAAAAGCCAGCTCTCAATGAATGTTTTTTGAGTGAAACAATAGAGGCCATAAAAGTGAAATCATGCACCATTTTGATAGCTTTCCTTCATTTCACCAGATGGTAATGGAGGCAAAGAAATATATCAAACTGTCTCCAATTTAAATTTCATTGTAATAAACATCAACAAAGAATTCTAATCAGAGTCTAATGCATTGAGAGGAAAAGAAAACTTACCACTCCAAGATGGCTGCCAGTGCTCGGGATGGTGGTTTGAGATGCTCAAGCATACCTTGGTCTGGGTTTCAAAACGGCCATTAGGCTGAAACAAACAAAAGGAAAACTTGTTATCACATCATTTAGAGAAAAATAGCAGGTAGCAACTTCAACAGAAAGCAAGAACTCACTGTCAACATCATGAATGAAGGTGGCTGGAATGGGTACTCAGCAGGGAGCTGGATCCTTCCATGATAAATCCCGCCCTCAAATTCCGAATCTCCTGGACCCCTGATGGCAAACTGCCATTCAAATATATTCTCCTGATGGAATATAATCACAGAAATATCAGAGATTACCCAACTAAGGAAGCAAATTTCTAACCAAGATTTCATTAATTAATAATAATAAATATAAATATCAATTTTTTCGGTTTTTTAAACGCGAGATCAACTACATCAGAACGAAAAACCTACATCCAACAATTATCTATTCAATAATTCGATAACAGATCCAGAACCAGCAACTGAAATTGAATGAGAAGAGATCTTCTACGGAAAAACCTAAAATTTGCAACAAAGATTTAAATTCGAGCAATAAATTGAGGGAACGGACCTCGAGAGGGAGGCTCATGAAATCGTCGGAGGGATTGGACTGCATCTCCTTAACCTCCTGCAAGATCCTCTTCACCGCCGGATTCTTCAGGTTGTACTTGTCCTCTGCCATCGGTCCAAGATCGACTCACCACCGTCCGTCCGATCACCTGTGTAAATATATACACGGATATATGGATGCCGCCGAGAGAACGAGATGAGGGGATTTATTTAATTTTTATTTTACTCCGTGTAAATACGTGCACGGAGGAAGAAGACTGACACGTCATAAGATGTCGGGTTTTACTACGTGGCAATATCAGATTGGAAGAAGGATTAACTCATTTGGTACACTCGTGGCCGACCTATTAAACGACGTCGGATCTATTTCTTAAGACGACGTCGGAACACCTTCCTCTTTCCTGTAAATCGGAGATAACAGGAGATGACGGAGGTTAAGCTCCTAGCCGTCACCTCTCATGGCGGATTCTGCAAAAGAAACTTCACTTTCTCATCGACCCAATAGAAAATTTGATGCTAAAATGAAAATTTAATCCATTTTCTTTGACAATTGAAATCTCCATTGAATGCTGTTCATGGGTTTCTGCCTTTTTTTTTTAAAAAAAAAAAATCAGTTTCAAAATTTTGGCTTCTTCTATCCATTTATGAATTGTTGACCCTAAATCAATTAAAAAACTGAAGCCCATTTCTTTGTTGATGTTCCATGTTGGTGTTGGTATAGAAGAAGGAGACAAGGGAGATGTGTGCACGGACAAAATCCAAGAGTTGTCGGACCTTGGATCATTGCTGATATCTTCATTGTAAGATTCCATTTCATGTCTAAATCAAGAGATTGTTTCCTTTTACTTTGTGTATCCCCTGTTTGTCTGTTACTTGATCTTTGTTGATTGTTTATTTATTACTGATGGCATGTTCCTTTTAGTCCTCGTTTGTGAATTTGGTTCATTGTTGATGAAATTCTTTGACGATGATGTAAGCTTGATTTTACAATTCAAACAATGTTCCTTCTTTTTGTACCGTTTTTTGTTTAGTATCCAAATGGCAAAATTCAAGAGTTGTTGGACCTTGGAAATCGTTGCTGATATCTTCATTGTAAGATTCCTTTTCATTTCTAAATCAAAAGATTATTTCATTTTACTATTGGGTACCTTCTGTTTGTCTGTTACCTGATCTTTGTTGATGTTTAGTTATTACTGATGGCATGTTCCTTTTATTCCTTGTTAATGGTTTTGATCGATTGATTGTTGATAAGGATGAGGTGAGTTTGATTTTATAATTCCAAGAATGTTGTTTCTTTTGGTTCAATCTTTTGTTTGGCCCAAAATGGTGAATTCTTCATTGAAAAAGGATTTTATCCAATGGCAATGTCCCTGTAATATATTATTAGGTGTGAGCTGCAGGCCACCTTGCTAACATCAACAAATTGATGTTAAGATTGCCTTACTGGATGCTTCAACCTTAGCTTGTAAGACTATGGGAAATTAAGATCAGTATTACATGATGAATGAAATCTTTGGTCTTTATGATGGAATTTTGAGATCAGTATTATATGATGAATGAAATCATGCAATTGAGGACACAGGATGATTCAATGGAAGAAGAGATCCTTTTCTTCAAATTCCAGCGACAAAAACAGCAAGTACAATCATTTTCAGGTTTTGGTCTTCTTGATGAGCATTGGTTTGATATTGACTCTCCACCAATTCAAACAAATGTGCAGGAAATCACAAAGCTTGGTGGCATCCCTAATGGAATTGGTGGTGTTGAAACAAAGAAGGAAAAAAAGCATCCATTTTCCTTGGCCTCACTTGAGCTGCTAAATAGATATCGTACACGATTGAACAGGGAAGGAAGAATTGAGCGAGGCCATGACACAACGACATGCAAAAGGAAGCCTAACAGAGATCTTTCAACTGAAGAAATCATGAGTGTTGCTGGGGAGATGTTTATCCAGTCGTCTGACCTGAATCTTGATGGTTTCTCCACACTTAGCCATCCATTTGATCTTTCTCTCTTTGGCCTTTCTGATGAGGAGGCCAAGGACATAGAACTTGCCAATTTACTTCTTGTTTCTGCAGAAAAAGTAGGACATCAACAATATGACCAAGCAAACATACTACTCAAGTTGTGTGACAAGATGTCTTCCAAAACTGGAAATCCAGTCCAATGATTGGTCTACTATTTTTCTGAAGCTCTACTAGAGAAGATTGATTGAGAGACAAGAAGAATCACATCAAAGAGTTTGGGAAAAGTGCAGGCCTTTGATTTTGATGAGGCACTAATGTGCCCAAGTCCATCGATGGTGGCACTTTATGAAAAAACACCGTTAAATCAGGTTATGCAATTCCCTGGGATCCAAGCCTTCCTAGAAATTGTGGCTGAGGAAAAGAAGATTCACGTAATTGATCTTCAAATTATACTTGGGGTGCAATGGACGGTTTTTATGGAAGCTCTTGCATCTCAAGATAAATGCCTTCTTGAACTTCTAAAGATAACTGCCATAGGAGCTATTTCAAAACATGGACTTGAGGATACAGGTTAGAGGTTAAAGAGTTTTGCCAAGAGTATGGAGTTGCCCTTTTCCTTTAAGATTGTAATGGTCTCAGACATGCTAGATCTCAAAGAAGATCTCTTTGAACTGGATGCTGAGGAAGTAGTTGTTATTCATGCTCGATATGTTCTTCGAAGCATGCTGGCAATACCAAACTGGCTTGAAAATATGATGAGAGTTATTAGAAACGTCAATCCATGTGTAATGGTAGTAACTGAAACTGAGGCAAATTACAACTCACCAACATTTGTGAAATGTTTCATTGAATTCCTCTTTTTTGAAAATGCATGCTTTGATTGCCTTGAAGATTGCATGAGGTGGGATGATAAGCATAGGATTATTATAGAATTGACGTTCTGTAGAGAGTCAATCCAAAACATTATTGTGGAAGAGGGTGAAAGCAGGAAGATTCGTAGTGTAAAGATTGATGTTTGGAGGGCATTCTTTGCTCGATATGGATTGGTGGAGGCAGAATTAAGCAGCTCATCCTTATACCAAGCAGAACTAGTGCTTAAGAAATTTCCTTCCTGGAGTTTTTGCATGCTTGGTATGAATGGGAAAAGCCTAATTATTGGGCGGAAGGGTACACCTATTTTTCCTCTCTGTCTGGAAGTTTCTTTGAATTGTGGATTTGATAGACATAACAGCACTCAGTCTCAGCTCCAAGCTCTCTCTCTCTCTCTCTCTCTCTCTCTCTCTCTCTCTCTCTTTATATATATATATATATATATTCATAAACGCCAACTTAACTTTCTTTGTAGAATTTTGAGAGATATGTTTGGAGTTTGGAACCTCCTACGTAATGCTT